GACCGCCCTTAGTTATTAGAGTTTGTTACAGTCGCTGCTCATGACAGCGAAGATAATTAACTTGATACCGCCATTGCACACATACACAAAATACACTCACACGTATACGCACAGGTATACACAGACGCAATATCGACAATAAATGTGTGTGTGTGTAACTGGTAGCGCGCGTGCATGCTAAATGGGGTTGCCAGCAATGTGTCGAGGCACATTCGCGGAAATTAACTCACCGCTGGGAAGTAATTAAACACTCGCAAACAACATTCTTGAATTAGGCCGAAATTAAACGACTTTTAGTCCTTTTTAAAGTGCTTTTTCGTACCAACTTTGTAACTAAAACTGATACCAACTTCCCAGTTTACAACCTCAACTAGGTAAATTTTACTATTGCTGATGCCGATTATATTCAAACGAACACGACATACACAGCCATAGAATTTGTTATTCGAATCTGCCACATATTACGAACATAGCTTATATAGTGCAGATGTAATGGATAAAATGTAAATGTCTTCATGTAGGTATGTTTGTTGGAAGCCGTGAAAAATCGTCACCGAATTGTACTCGGTGGTCCACTGCGCAGTAAGGCAGTGCTCATCCGATTGCTCATTGATTGAAAACTGATATTACCGAAATTGATGCGCAGTTGCACATGGCGCAACGGACTACTTCATTTTCTATCGGTTAAGTGATTTTAGATGTACTCGCTTCAGTTTAAGTTATTACTCCTATGTCTAGTCTGCTCGAGTAGGATATTTTGAAGGTCTAAATACGTCTAAAACTTGTTGAAACGATTAGTAAAAATAAATATTCAGATCATTTTACATATTCGGGCACTCGGTTGTGTAGTTTCATTTAAAATATGTACATTGCTATTGCTAATTTCGGGTCTAAATCAATCTGTGCACAGCACGGAATACATTTACAACATAATGAGAAATAGGTAAAATTATATGTATAAATGAATAGGCTGTGCGGCGCTCATCCATATTCATGGAGAGCCGAATTTATGCGTATTATCGTCCAGCACGCCCATAACTCTGTCGGAATACACGTCAAGGAAGAGAATTTATATACACGATGGCATTCCTCAGATTTCTCAATTAATTGCAGCTCAAAGCGCGCTTTTTTTTTTCTCTCTCCTCCCACTTTTTTTATACATATTCTCCGTAATGCTATACTTTAATTAATTATACAAACTGCTTTGTTGACTATGCGGGGCTTCCTGAATAGAAAAAATAAAAGAAAATTGGACGAGCCAAGATTGGCGTTTTAATTTGGAAGAAGAGCTGTTTGCCTTGTTTAGAACATCCGTAATTAGGAGGAAAATAAGTATGTACCAGAGACACACAGCCGCCTACATTTAATACATCCTACTACAAACTACACATAACAACCTACGGCAAACAAGCAACTTATCACGTCCAGAGTGTCACAAGAACAAGATCGTCAAAGAAAATCCTTTTCCGTTACAACAATTTATGTTCGCTTTATTAATTATTCTTTTACTGCACTTAATAGCGCGCTTCAAACAGTTTCGCGAAACAGCACATCAGAGACGTGCAGCAGAATAAAAAACAGAAGCACGGGTAGTTAAATGCTCATTAAATGCTAATCAATTGCAGCACATTAGAGACATCCTTTAAGTAGGAAGTGCAAAGTCAGCAGAATCAAAAGAGGCATATGAATAGTTAAACGCTTATTAAATGCTAATTAAATGCCCTAATGAGTAATTAAATGTTCCAAGCATTGCTGTGTTGCTAATTTAATGATTAAGTGGGAAGGAATATGAGCTAAACAATGTTTAAACAATGGACAACTTTTTGGTCACACAATATAATTCAATGGTTTCAACTTGGTTAAAATGTTGATAGCTTGCAGACAAATTCCAGAAAGCATTTAGTTTCTCATTAAGACACTTAATTAGACATTAATGACGCTTTGATAAGTACATGGTTGAAACAGTGATTTTCCTTGTTTATGTCGCGAAATCAAAACAGAAAAAATAAGAGCATTGAAAACGTAACTGCTCTGTAGCATTTAATGAGCATTTAATTACTCTGCGATCAAGAAAGCTATTTTCATTGTTTAAACAATTCTTATTCTGATCACTTAATCTTAAGTTAGCAGAATAGTAATTTTTGAAAAATTCCTGGAGTATTTAATTTCAGATCATGTCACTTAGTTAGCTTTTTAATTAAGCATTTAATTGTCCACGTGTCTATTTTTTACTCTGGTGACTTTACTCTTCCTATTTAATGGACCGATCACTCCCCCAATGCAGTACAACTCTTCCTAAGTTTTTTTTTTTTTTTTCAAAAATATCTGGCTAAGTTACTGGACATTCTATGTCGAGATATGAAAGGACGCACGAGGCACTTCGAACTCAGTTATGCACACGAGTTTTTCAAATGGAATTTTAATGCCACAGCATTACAACAACTTGCCATTTCATAAGCATCGTGTACGTCGCCTGTCATAAAACTTTTACGATCCATCAAAAAGCTCGCGTCCATCAAAGCGCACACCTTTCGTTTCATATATGACATCACATAAAGCGCCCTAACTGCAATACAATCGAATTTGACGATACCGATACGCCTGATATCGGTAGCAATATTTCTTTGATGGCCCTCTAAAAGGGAACATCATCAAAAATGAAAAAAAAAATCAGTCAAAATGCACCTCATTTTCACACAAAAAAAAACTACAAATTTACCCACACTGCATAGACGAGAATTTTTCCTTTCGACTTACATTACATTGCACGGACAATATCAATATGTACGAGGTGTATTCAAAACGTATCGCGAATATTGTGTTTTTTCAAAAATTATTTATTTATTCATGAATATCTGTTTTGTCCCCTACAAAGTAATCCCGAGGGGAATTTGGGGGATACGATGGCTGCAGCCTTATTAGTGTGTTGTTTTTGGCCAAAATTTCGCGCACAAACAACGATGTATGAGCAGGGGCGTTATCATGGTGCAAAAGCCAATTATTGTTCTTTCACAAATCCGACCGTTTCTAGCGAATTGTTTCGCACAAAATGCACATAACTTGCAGATAAGATTCCTTATTGACAGTTCTACGCTGTAGTAAGAACTTATGATACACCACGCCCCTGCAATCGAAGAAAACTAAGCAAAACCTTCACATTCGACTTAACTTGGTCTTGGCTCGTGTGGCAGCTTCCATTGGGATGATTGAGCTTTGGTTTCCTCGTCATAACGATAAACCCATGATTCGTCACCAATTATGACTCTATGGAGCAAATTTGGTTTGAGTCCAACGTCTCCATAGCAATGTTAAGGCGATGCAGTTTTTTTTTTTTCGAAATTGAGCAGTTTTGGAACGAATATCGCGGCTACCCATCTCATGTCCAAACCATTGGTAAAAATCGAATATGTTTAGGTCCTCAACAACTTCTCTAACGGTGATTCGACGATTCACCAATACTATTTCCTTCACTTCATCAATTTTTTCGTCTGTTGTTGACGTGTTCGGGCGTCCGATAGTCATTTCGTTCTTCACATCTTTTCGCCCCTCTGAGATATTTTTTTGTTTTTTTTTGTACCACCAATAACCGTTGCTTCGGCTCAAAATTCGTGTTACTTTTTGAACAGACCTCATACATTACATTACATGGACAACATCAATGTCTACATATAAAATCTAAACAAATTGGTGAAAAAAACTTCTTCTGTAATAGAAAAGTTTGACTACTGTTTTTAAAACAAAAAAAACCAATGGAATTGAATTTGTAGATAAAATTACTGACGTTTGCATTTACAATTGAACAAACGAAATTGAGTAGAACTTTCGAAATAAGTACTTAATACTGCAGTGCAATTGAATGGACACAGTTCGGAAACATAAATCACATAAAGTTCCCTGGTTCGGGTGCAAAGAAAAATTCGCTCTGTACGTACAGTTCAAAGTTAACAGATTAAGTCCGCAGAACTAGCGTCCGACAGCATCAACAGCAACACTGGCTGGTCTCAAGTTTCTCGATTTACATTTGCAGTAAGCAACTTACAATTACTGCACTTCGCAAAGCAGTTAACGTTACTAGCAGCAGAAATTAACTTTTTCGAAAAGTATTTAAGATACCTATCCACTTTTAGCGCATTCTCAACTTTTCTCTATCCGGTCTCGGTAGCGCGACAAATAACACTGAGCGCATTTGAATTTTAATACTTAACTTCTGGAAACTCAGTCGGGAAAAGTTTTAACTGTAAATTTTTCCAGTCATTCTCTTTATCAAAACAATAGCAAAAGTTGTCGTAAGTAAAATAGAAACGTAACAAAGTACGAAACTCTTCACAAAATTGGCAATAATTACATTATGAGACACTTGTGTAAGTATATAAACATATTCCTGTAAAGAGAACGAACGACTGCTGTTTTTGACGTAAAAGGGTATCATATAAGTGCAATTATTTAACTTTTTGATATCAGAATGAGTTCAACTCTAAACGCAATAGTTAAAGGCGCCAGATATTCATTGTTACACTGCGATACTATTGTATACACAAATGCTAAAATTAAGCCTAATGAAAATTCGATTTATCTACATAAGAGCATACCAAAATTAATGTTTTCCACATAAAAAAACCCTCATTAAATATGTTACAATTACAATTTGATGACATGACGGATGTAACATCCCTTGTATACGTCAACCTTAAAATTATTTAGATCGTAAATGTTTCAAATTATTTGTCATTCTGGAAAATATTCTTTCAATAATATCGCCCCCTTATAACAGGAGGTTTGAACATGAATTGATAGCGCTTGCCGTAGAGTGACGTCATGCGCGAACTCATCCAAAATGCGTATACGCATCTTTATACTTGTTCTTCTCTAAACTCAATAGCGAACAACACGAGATATAAAATATGACATTATGATGGATGTTAAAAGTTATGTTAAATAGACTAGCCTAGTCAAAGTTCGGCTCGTCTATACAAACTCATATAAATGTAATGATTACTTACAATTTTTCGATGTCATTGGGCAGATTTCCTGGCACCTGGGTCAGTCCGCGGTGGGAGCAGTCCACCGACGATTCCGAACAGATACAGCTCCTTGGGCACTTGCTCGAGAAGCCGAAACTACTGTAGCCGATACTATTCGAAGGTTCGGCCACAGCGGCAACATTGCACGATAAAACAATCACTAATATACCGAGACAGAGAGCGTAATATCTCTGCAGAAACGATAACGAGGCCCCCCTCCGCATCGTGAGGAGGAGAGCTTTCGGTACGTAACGGACTTTCGCGAAAAGAACGCACTTAACCAAATTGATCTTGTTGCCTTGATTGATGGAGATACAAAATCTGATCGTGGATGAATCACGACCTGAAACAAAAAAAAACAAACATAAGTCCTGACTGTTGTCTATTTTTTTACAATACAATAATTTACAACTTTCGCCCAATTAAAAAGAAAATCAAACTTTAAAATTATACTTAAAAGATAATTTCATCCGAATTATAATATATAATTTACCTTTACCGTAATACTTGTAAACGTATCACTATATCGTTCTAGTAGATGCCGTTATAAACAATATCTACTGTATTACATAGAAAAGTTTCTATTGTGAATTCCGCTATCGATTTGTGTTTCAAAAGTTCGCGCTCTCCGCGTTGTTGATCAGATTCGTCTTCTACAAAACTGTTTTAAGCTTTGTGTTTAACTAGAAAGGACAGTGTAGCCCGCCTCACTAAAACGGTTTGCTGACAAGTAGTTAATTAAATTTTCAAAACGAGTTAATGCACTCTGCTTCGATACGACAACGTCTGCCCACGAATAAATTTACTCGCTAACCAGCCATCATCAGATTCTAATTTTCTTCACGCAATATTGCGGATTGTAACATTATTATTATCGTAAAATCGCCAGTCCTAAGACTGCTTGGACACGCACCTCCACTCGTTCCTATCCTGAGCTAATTTTCGCATTTCCCTAAAACTAGAACATCCCACATCCTTAACTATTTGCGAACAGTAATCTAATCTAGGTCTACCTCTACCCCTCCTAACTCCTGTTTCTGCCTCTAATATGTCT